GATGAAGAGGAGAAGAGAAAAGGATGGGATGAGTCTTTANTCTTTGGATCCCAACACAACGAGGAGACAACATGAGACCCAACACTGTGCCTTTAATAGAGAGAGAGGGGCAGAAGAATAGAATAAATGGAGGACTGATAGATGTAAATGTACATGCGTACATGTCAACGTGTATGTTAAATACATATTCTATGAGAATAATGGTACAACATGGCTGAATTGTAGAAAATCACAAAAATTAATTCAGGATACAGATTAAAATAGCTATCCTTGAAACTTAATGTGTATGTATTACATGTACATCATTTAAATATACATGTGTGTATCATACCTTGATATGAGTGAAGGTTGAGGCCATCCTCCATATATTGAGATATGTCCATCAGAACTGCCCACAGCAAACATTGTTCCACATGGAGACCAACACGTCACATGATCAAACTAAACGGTAATAAATAATAATAATAATGATCAAGAAACATGCATTTGTAACAATTGTTATGTTAAAGATTCTATTTTCACCTTTTCATTTCTTCCGTCTTGCTCATTGATTGTTTGAATGCAGTTCCAGCTCTCTCTCTTTAACAGTCTCACACCATTACCAACAGGCACAGCAATAACCTAATTATCACGTACATGTACATGTAGCTTGATTGTGTTGGTTTACCTGTCCTTGGCCTGGCTGCCATGAGAACCGACAGAGTGTTGAGGCAAATATAATATCATTGACTTTAGGAAACACATCAACTGAATAAACAATAACCTTAAAAACAAAACAATAAATATAACACAACATCTACATGTACATGTAACTCCTTCCCTTTACCAGTCACACAAATATGTACATGTACAGTGTAACTGCATATACGTGAATGTACATAAATGCCTTTTTAATCACGATAAAATTACATAAAAAGTAATACAAATACATGTAGCACTAGTATAAAACATACACGGTGTACATGTACATCATATACATGTGTACATACCTTACTCTCTGTTGACCATATCTTAACTGTACCATCACAACTTGACGAAGCCTAGCATATAATGTATACAATAATAATAATAATTATTATTATTATTGTATGTGAACATGTACTATAATTATTATTACCAAATATTGGATGTACATGTACATGTATAAAATGCTCTCACATGTACTTACCAGGTATTTAATAAGAGGATCAAACCTGACACACAGTACTGGTGCATCATGTCCTTCCATTGTTGATATTTTACTAGTATCGGTCAAATCAACCATCTTAACCAAGAAATCACTATAAGTTGTAAATAAGAGTATACTCTTGATAATTATGATAACAATAAGTGAATACTGACAGTTATAAAAACAAATCAATTTATAGTACCATATATAGCTACCATATGTACATGCATGTTCATGTACATTGTGTACATGTGAGCTCCAAATTTTTTGGTCAAAAATATATCATCAAATTTTTCTGGGCATTTTCTTCATATGCTGTTAAAATTTTAATGACAAATATTATTTCGATAAAAATCAATCATAAAGCTACAATATAATACAGTATTAGAACTGGTACATTACCTTGCACCAGCTGCTAGTCTTGAAGAGTCGCTGCTCACATCAATGGTATTAATTTGACTGGTAAACCTAACCAATATTGCCTTGAACTGACTCTATACAAAATATGATCAATGTAGAATAAAATGCTTTGAATTTTAACTTTAGTTATCATGAAGCAGGAAGAAATGGTTAAGTTTTATTTTGGTGATTGGCAAATAAATGCTAAAATTGCCAAAATAAAAGTTTGATTTATTCCAAATGACAAATGGCCACAAAACTGTAAATATTGTAATCATAGAATTGCCAATAATAAGCAGTGCCAAAATATCCTGCTAACAATACACCACATTAGATACGTACATGTATAAAGACTTTGTTCTTACATCAGCAAAAGGATCGTCATTAACATTACCAGAGCAATAACTGTAGGAGAGGACAGTGTGATCATCGGTTGCCACAGCAACCATATACTCCTCCCCCTGATTGTAGCAGGCAATGTCCAGTATACTAGTAACGTCCCCAGCAACACCAACAATGGACTCCACATCAAACTGATAGTTGTCCTCCTCTAGTCCACCATTATGGAATACAACACTAATACTGTCTAAACCACAGCTAGCTATTTGTCTAAAGAAAAAAGGGGGTGGGAGGGGGAAGAAAGTAAAGTGACCAAAAAAGACAATTTAAACATTAACCTGTTAGAGTCTAAAGTGATTCTTGATGGACCTTCTCCGTGAACTAGTTTCAATATAATGCCCTCTTTCTCCTCCATCTAATTCCCGCGCTAGCACTTTCCCGCCAAACTCACATGACCTATTATGGCAGGCATTTACCAGAGGAGGTAAGACACGGTTGACCTTTGAGCAATAATTGCAAAGTTCAATTACATTCCATTGGTATCACGTGATGAAAAATGGCAGCTTTCTGATGATTGTATCACAAAACTAGCTACTACTGCAGAAACTAGAGAGATCTATGACGACCCTTGACGGTTGTTAAAATCACCATTGTATGGAGAAAATTTCTTCTTTGGTTATAGACATGAATATAAGAAGAAGAAAGAGACAGTGCATCTTAACTTTGATTCTCTTCTTTACTTCATCAGATAAATCAATCTTCGCTAGTTTAAGATGTTAAAAATTACTGCACCTATCATAGTTTCTAGTGAATTAATGAAAGTCCCATTGACTCTATCTTGATGCTCTAAATTATTGTTAGAAGTGGCATTAGTGGAAGAATTTGGCCATTTTGCATCACGTGATACCAATGGAATGCAATTGAACTTTGCAATTATTAATCAAAGGTCAACCGTGTCCTACCTCCTCTGGGCATTTACTACCTGATTAGACTATGGGTGGGCCTGTGGGAGTTAAAATTACTCTAATATCATAATAATAATATACCTAATATTAAACCAAACAGTTTAATACGTGGAAAGGCCATTATCACGATTGATTTTTTTATCTATGCTTGTAAGCTATGGTTCTTTTTGTTTTGGTATTAATTTCTGTTGTCCTCATAACTTCAGCATCCTCTTTGACGTGTCCATCTCAAAAAGATGCTGAAGTTCTTATTTTTGGTGCTGGTACGGCTGGAGTGACGGCGGCTAGAGTTTTCAACGATCATGGCTTAAACAGTTTTAAAGTACTAGAGGCGTATGGCAAAATTGGAGGAAGAATAAGAAATGTTGCTTTTAAAGGGGTTCAGATCGAGGTTGGTGCAAACTGGATCCACGAAGCACCAGCTAATACTGGGAGCAGAAGCGATAACGACAATCCAATATGGACACTGGCTCGCCATTCAGGCTGCTATGTACAGGGCAATGAATTTCAGGGAAGTTTTACATCAAGTGCTATCTACATGGATTTGAATGATAGACAACAATTTGAAACTGTCAATGCTGATAACATTGTGACGGAATATATGACAAAGTATGAGGAAGCAATTGGAACTGCTGGTACTAACACTGTCAGGCAAGGACTGAATATAAATGACTGGCACCCAGATTCCGCATTGAAGCAAGTAATTGAATGGAGCGAGTTTGATTTCACATATGCTACAACTCCAGAAAATCCGGTGTGTCATTAACTGCCGAAAATCATAATGTGAATTTTGGTGATCAGTGCTTTATAGTAACAGATCAGCGAGGTTTTGCTTCAGTGCTACAGTGCATAGCTAA